ACATTTCAGGTTGAGTAGGTGGCAGATATGACGATGAGGAGACGAGTGGCCGGTCATTGCATTGACCTTATTTATTCTGCATTTACTGATGAACTTGTTTAATGATAAACTTATTCGTTTTTGTCAAACATTATGATGTGTTTGGCACTGGTTGAATTATGTTAAACATGATGAGTATGGTTTATTATGAGGATATGAAACCTGATGACTTGGTTTGATTTAATGTTGATTATGTCATGATGATATATCTATGATGATTATGCAATGATATAATGATTATGATGTTTGGATAATGATATCCTTTTGAAATATTTGGGTAATGAGTTCCCGTCAGTTCAAATATACTTGAACTGCTTATGTGAAATGATTGAGTAACGCCAATAAATGTTTTAAATCGAAAAATGAATTTAGAAAATTTAACCATGATTTTTGGAAAACTCCAGAATTTATTTTAAAATAAACGGGGCGTTACACAGTCGGATGCTGCTGTCACCATCCTCTTGATTTCAGGTTACAAAGGATCGTGGTAGATCCAACACCCGCTCATGCGCATCAGATCTTCACTCCAGTCGGTGCGCCACTGGATCTCACACATATTTCGAGAGAGGAATCAACCCGTTGAATTCCTAGCCAGCATCGGTGCCTCCACTCTCCAGAGGCGTACTTTTGGCCCGGACAACGCCCCGCTTCGCCTCCGCACCCTTGTGCGGACGGATCATGATGGCTATCCCTCTTTCAAATTTCGGTAGTTTTTTTTTGGTGTATTTTTTGTATTTCGAATCATTTTGTGGGTCAGATTGCTCGCCTGGACACCTCCAGCCCAGGTCCATACTTCTCTTTTGAGTGGTTTTTCCTTTTCACTTTTTTTTTTTATTTTATTTTCTGGTTTTGGTTAGATATATGTAGACATTTCTTTATCTCGGCCCTTTTAAGGTTTTATACATGTTCGGGATTCTGCTTGACCCCCCCACCCTTTAGGGTGTTTCGCTTAAAAAAAAAAATAGCTCTGTCATCAAAAAATTGTTGGGGTGATTGAATATATAATATTTTTGTTTGATTGGATTTGTTGGATAGGTAGAATTTATTTTAATTGAGTTAGATTTAAGTAAGATTTTGAGTTATTATCAAAATAATATTTGATATAAAATTACTAAAGTTTATTTGACGAAAAAGTATAAGATAAATGATTGAAAGTAATGTTTTTAAAATTATGTGAGTAATTAATAATGAATAAAAGTTGATGTTATGTGTTAAAATAATTTATTGATATCATTTAATTATATTGATAATGAGGAGGGTTATGTTGAATTCAATTTGAATTGGTTTTTGAGTTAAAAAATCTATCTGCCCACCTTTTGGCCGAATAATGTGTATCCAATTAGGGCTAAGGCTTTAGCTTTGGACTCTTAAACAAAAATAATAATAACCTCATGCTTGTGATAAGTTACATCAAAGGTAGCCTAAAAGCAACTACACTAATGTACCCACAACAAAACAAACTATACAACTCCCAATACCAGAATAACACGCTCCCAATAAGAAGAAAAAGACAACACAAATAAACCACCACATAGCTCCTAAAGGGGAGGAAAAACAACCCAAAACACAACAAAAAACACAAAACAACACGAAACGCACAAACTAAAAACTAAACAAAACAAAAGCAACACCAATACCCTTCCCCAGAAGAAAAGCCAAGTCCAACATGAAGCACAAGCAGAACTCAGGTCGACCACTCAACAGACTAAATTATTACACACTAAATTGGGCGAAAAAAGAACTTCCAATAATTAAATAGAAGTGTGTCGATTTGGAACAATCAAATAAACAAGATATGGTCGTCAGCGGGAATGCAATTGTCTCATTCCTGGACACATAGTAATAGTATACTGCACATTTCCAAACGGCTTCAACAAAAATGTACACTACATTTGACCGCACTTATCAATCATCCCGAGGTACTTTGCTCCACAAGTCTCAGATAGTCTCGTGATCTATTTTAGCTTCTGCAATGAACACTAATATATTATTATCCATGGCTTTGTAATCTCCAAGATAACCCAATACGTTATTTCTATCTTTGGAAAAAAAAAAAGAAGTTAACTGTCTTTCGACGTACCAGCAGTGGGTTTAGGACACTAACAGATATTTGTCATTTTAGAAAAAGGTAACTGGAGTTATTTCTGTTATTAAGACTAACCCTCAAGTGCAGCTCTTGTAAATGACCCAAAATTATAGTAAAAAGCATGCCACTATCTTAATCTTTCAGAACACCGTATTATATCGAAATCCCAGGAATTTGAATTCTTCAGAGCTAAATTCATTAAATAAACAAGAATCTAAAACATCTTAATATCTGTAGCTAGTAAAAATCTAGTAATTTAAAAAATAAGATGAGATTTTCACCTTCAATTGAGCCACAGGTGATGATTCTGTTAAGAAAACCACGAAATCTGGATAGCACGAGCCTTTCTTGTTCAACATACAACTGGTCAAGGCCATTTGTGGAGGCTGATTTCATGTTCATGCTTGGACTGGACTCAATAATTGAAGATGGAGCATTTTCCACCATAAATGCCGTGTCTTGTTCATCACACATTAAAGCAAGTGTTGCTGGGGACAATGGTCTTTCCTTGTGAATATCAAATCCATTTGATTCCCCATTTTCTTGGTTTTGGTGATCTTTGATATCATGGGATGAAGATATTTGTGCAGGTTCGGGCTCAGTCACATCTGAGGCGCTATCGGTTTGGTTTTCTTCTGAAAATGTAAGATACATGAATTGAACAAGGGGACCAATTTCAAAGTAAATTGAAAGGAAAAAAAAAAAAAAAATATTCCTTAGGGTTTGACCTAATTACAAATGAAACTGAACTAATATTTTTGAATCTACATAAAGTACCCCCAAAATTCTCCTTTGTCTCACATGTACCCTATCATGAGCAAAAGGCAATTCAAAACTCTTTTTTGTCATTCACAAAAAATATATTGTTGGCCCCCAAGTTCTAACAATGAAACAAACCTCAGGGGTGTCTTCTTGTAACTCCATAAGTTAGCTAGATTACTTTGTTATTAGGTTAACTTTAAGGGTACTTTATGTAGATCATCTCATTATTTTTGACCGATTTTTATGAAATGTACTTGAAAATTTCTGAGCTGCTTCGGCTGAAAGTTCGACCAACAGTGTGCAGAAGTCCTTCACATGCTGTAATTGGAGGATCCCATCCAAAGGAGACCTTCAACCAGAATAACAATTTTTAAACACTAAGTTGCAAGAGTAGTTCGTTTAAATTTATAACACCACAAAGGTATACAAAATTTACCTGTAGGAGGGTTTAGAAAGAGCAAATGTTGGTTTGGACAGGTGATGAGATAATGAGGATTTAGAGGCATCAGCTGTCGAGCAAAGTTCCTGATTACAAGGGAAACAAGATTCATCATGCACAAGAAGCTGAAAATATGTAATACTTAGACAAACATTATAACCAATCCTGGAATTTACACAAGCATTTACCAAGTCTTCTTAACAAGGAATTGTGCTCAAGCAATATCCAGTGCAAAATTGGATTTCAGAAAGGAAAAAAATGATAATAATAATAATAATAATAACTAATGATACGAATTATCAACATGAAAAAGAATAACGACAATAATAAACAAATATCTTAAATTATAATTCAAAAAAGTACCTGATGATATTGTGAAGGCCAGCTACTCATTTTTTTATTATTGGCCAACCCAAAAGCAATTTGTTGAGTTCTACTCTTCCTGTTTGGTGTTCCAATAGCTCCATTAATGGCAGCATTGGCCGCCTGTTGCATTAGTGCAATCGAATTTGTGGGATACTGATGAAAATGAGCTTTCCTCTCCTCACTCCCTTCATAGTTTTTGCAGTCCATGCATTTACATTTATCCGAGCATAGAATATTGGCCTGGAAGCACTCACAGTACCTCTTGAGACACCCAGATTTCTTACAATGACACCCCTTATTGTGCTCTACCTGAATTGTATGAATTGGCAGAATCATGCTAGTGCTAAACAAATAAAATTCACAGGCATCCTTTTAATTTCTCCATTTTCCTTCCACCTTTGTTGAAATAAAAAACCATTAAATTACAAATTTACACGATTATATTTCTTCAAACTATCACTTCTACTTCTCTTTTCTTATGCCAGCTACTCTTAACCTGATATTTCCCAATTCACAAAGACTAAGAAAATACAACATGAATAATAAATAATACAATATGTTAACAACAAACTTAGACATATGATTAAGTAAAGCTCCTGGAAACTGAGAAGGTGTAAACACATAGGAGAGTCATTTTCACATACACTTGCATCAGCAACTCCATGTGGACTGTTAGCTATCTTAGGTCTGAATGCATTAGGATTCCTCTCCAAGACAGTTTCAATTGATGCCTTTCTATCAGCCTCATGTTCTATTGTATTGTGACATTTAATGCAGTTGCATCCATCACAATAAACCCCAGAGGCAAAGCACTCACAGTACCTGGCGATAGATATTACTAGTTACATAATCGCTAAATCAGTGAACAATAATTGGACAGGATATGAATGCTCAGATCATCTATTAGGAAACCATATAAAGAAACAATGTTGAAAAAGACAAGTGATGAGGCATTCTCATGAACTTCCAATCGTATGAAATAAGAGACTTCGATCGTTGGAGAGATTTTACTTACAACTTCAAGCATCTAGAATTCTTACAATTGCATTGTTTCTGCTTTTTTGGAGTACCATCAATCGGTTCAAGATTACCCTTTTCTCGTGATTTTGGGGACTCCAACTTCCTGAATAAAGGAAAACAAACAACACGATATTTCTTAATAATTGTCAAGTTATTTTTTACTTCAATAGATAAGCTATACACACACACACACACACACACACACACACACACATTTTATTAACACTATAATACTGTAAACTTGCCACATCTATTCAAATCATCTATCAACACAGTCTTAACTCTTAATAACATACCTTATGATTAGTCAAATATTCATAAACATAATCACCGAAACTACTTAAATTAAAAGCACCCATTTTCACACTCCTAATCAACATTCCAACAAGAAATGAAAAACTTGCAAACGCTCAAACAAAAAAGCCTTACAGAAATGGCTGCAACGGAGGCTTAGAGACCGCGGTTTTGTTTGCCGGGTGAGCCAAACGTGGAGCTGCGGATGGTAACTTGGCTGTCCCCGAGACCTGAGGAAGTTCCCGCTGGGGAGATTTGGGCGGCATTACCATTTTCCGAGGGGGCAATTTCGTCTGAGCCGCCATTCTCGGAGGAGATTGGGACCTGGCGGGTGCAGCAACCTGCCTCGATTGGGCCAAGGCGAGCAATTTGGATTGTAACTGAGCCTGTGGGTGGTCCGGCAGTATCAAATTAGAATTTACCGCGGACTTGAGATTGACAGTGAAATCCAGCTGCCTCACCACCGGCGACGCCACTGTTCCAGCCGCCGCCTCGCTCTGCTCCATCACTCCAAACACTATAATTTTCTAAAACCAACAATCGTAAGGGTTACGAATCTCATGCGATGAACTCAAAAAAGGGGCCAATTCTTGAAACCCAAAACGTAACTTGATGAGATTTCAATCCGTGATCCTTGTGAGGGAAAAAGAGAGGATGCAAAAATCGAATCTTTATCACTCAAACGGCATTGATTTACGAAATGAAATAAAGGGGAACCAAAAAAAAAAAAAAGCTTTGAACAAGAATGGCCGCCAAAATTGAATCTTTCTTCTTTGGGTGAAGAAAAGCAGCGAGAGGGTTAATGGAGTAGAGAGTATATACGCATACAATACAGTGCATAAAGAGCAAGAGTCGGGGTGCTGTACTGTATTGTACTGTTTTGTGATCCCTTTGCCTTCAAATTATTTGAAATTTAAATTCGTGCAAAATTTATCGTTAGGGTTTGGTGGAACCGATGGATTGGGAGGACTTTTCTCCTTTTATTTCCCATCCAATTCCGTGCAGTGTTGGTTTAAGAAAAAAATAGAATAAATTATCTTACCAGACTCACTTAATTGTGTAAATAACATAATTAAAGTACTTATCACTAGTGAGAATCTATGCACGAGGTTTTTGGATTTTTTTATTTATTTTTTAAAAATTTAATTTTACAATATATTATGCCATTATCCGTTTATATTAATATAAATAATATTTTAACATATATATTTATTTTTTAATACATAAAATATAATAATATTACATATTTTAGTTCATCGTAATGCTCAAATATTATTTTATTCAAAAATGATTGTTGTAATGTCATTATTATTTATAACACTTATAGAATATTTTTTTTTACACTTATAGAATATTTTTGTATCTAATTGATGTAATTAATTTAAAATTATATAAGCAAATTTAATGTTCATCCGTAATATTATTATATGGAAGGTAAGATAAAATGGAATAAATAAACCTTAATTGAATAAACCCACCATTTAAGAGAGCATTTAATGTTGTCTGATTTTGTGGTAATAATATTCAAATAACTTCCTAAAGTGACATGCAATTAATTTTGGCGGACTTTTTTTTGTTACTATTTTTTGTAAATAGATTCTCCATTTATAGAATATAGATAGATTTATCACCATAAAAGTTAGTTTTCTCAAAATTTTCAGTATAATTATTCAAATTAAAAATAATTTATAAGCACACTTTTTTATTCAAATTATTATTTTTTCATTTATATATTTATAATTATTATTTTATCAGATAATAATTAATAATATTGTCTATATCACATTATTGCGTATTATGAAAAATGGATTTGAAACTCTAACTTTTAAATGGAGTTATCTGATGCAAATTTCACCATCTAAAAGTTATTTTTGTATATTCATTACTTTTGAAGGCAATGAATTGCTTCAGATAGGACGAAAAAATCCAACTAAGGTTGACGCACCTAAATTTTGGCGCTAAAGACGAGATGATGAGAACGAGATGAGTACATGTGTGCAACTATGATTGGTTCCGCTGCATTATATTTTGTACCGAAGACCCATTTTTCCACCTCTCGCAAAGAAGGTTTTAAAATTTGAATTTTGAACACAATTTCAAGAAACATATAGTGGTGTCCAAAGTAATATCAATTTATAGGATCTGCATAAAATTGTGTAATTTATTTTAAGAGTACTTTTATTTAGATAAATCTTCAATTCTAAAATTAAATTGATGGTTTTTTTTTCAAGGCAAACAAACAAACATATATTACTCTATGCAGGCTGCCTTGTTACCGAGCTCCATTACCGAAGGGCTTGAACGTAGAAGCCGCGCATTCGTCTGGGGTGGCTCCTCTGAGAAAAGGAAAATTCACTTAGTTGCGTGGAATGATGTTTGTAAACCTAAGGAAAACGGTGGCCTGGGCATTAGAAATTTGCGTAGACTTAATTATGCACTCCTGATGAAGCTAGGGTGGGGGCTCGTGTCACGCACTAACTCGCTATGGGTACGTCTTATGTCAGCAAAATATGGCCTATGTACCTCGAACATGCTGGACAAGCCTCGATGCCGACAGGGCTCTCCCCTAATGCAGTCCATTTGCAAAATCTGGTCCGACATGATGAAAGAAGTTCGGTGGACCCTAGGAAATGGAGAAACAGTCCGATTTTGGCTGGACCCTTGGGTAGGTGATCTCGGGCCGCTTCTTCATCACGCGACTCGAAGTCCGCCGGACAACATGCTCCAGCTGCCGGTGGTGGAGTTCGTGGATGAGCGGGGCAACTGGAAGTGGGACTTGATCCATGGAGTTCTTCCTTCCGTCATCATCATGCGCTTAGCCGGAATCTCACCTCCGAGGGAAAGCACCGGGCAGGATCTCATTTCATGGGGGTCCTCCCACGATGGAAAATTTTCGATAAAATCAGCCTACGCAGCTCTAAGCCAAACGTAGAAGGACCCGGATCGTCTCCTTTGGAAAATGATTTGGAGCGCTCAAGCACCGCAACGTGTCCGAAACTTCTTATGGCTTGCAGCCAAGGAGCGGTTATTGACCAACTGTGAACGTGTTAGAAGACATATTTCCTCCTTGCCGGACTGTGAGCTGTGTGGCGAAAGCGAGACGATTATTCATGTTCTGCGTGATTGCCCCATTACTAGGACCATGTGGTGTAAGCTCCTTCCGGCCGATGTTGCTCACAATTTTTTCGCACTGCCACTACACTCTTGGCTAAGGAGAAATCTGGGAAGGGCGCATGTGGGCTCGCATAAAAGCTGGAGTTGCACATTCGCCTTTGCTGTATGGAGCACGTGGAAATGGAGGAACGAGCGTATATTTAAAGGCCTGTCTCCTAGCTGCGATTTTTGGTGCGCGGATATCCGCCGGAAAACGGGGTCCTATGAAAAAGCGCTTGAGGCCTACGCGAAAGTAGGTGCTGCGGTATACGACGTTCGAATAATCAAATGGGAGCCACCATAGGCGGAATGGGTGAAAGTTAACACAGATGGGGGGCCCGCTGATGATTCACGGGCATGTGTAGTGCGGGAGGATTAATCCGAGACGAGTGCGGCTGTTGGGTTGCCGGGTTCATGAACATTGGGATTTGCACCGTTACGGGGGCCGAGCTGTGGGGTATGTTTCATGGGATCCAGTTGGCTTGGGAAATGGGATTTCGTAGAGTTGTCGTCGAAGTAGATAGCTTGTGTGTGACGAAAATGATTACTGGTTCGGAGGACAGGGGTGCCAACGATTCGTTAGTCCAAGCCATTCGTCAGTTGTTGCATAGAAACTGGAGCGTTCGGATTCAACACGTGCATAGGGAAGCCAATTTTGCGGCTGATTATTTGGCAGAGCTAGCGGGATCATCTCCCTTGGGTTTGCATAAGATCACCAGCCCGCCGTCGGGACTAGGTGAGTGGATGTCTCACGATATTAGTAGGGTGGCTCACCCCCGTCGTGTTCTAGTTACGTAGCCTTGCTTGTTGCTTTCGGGCTCCTGCCCGCCTTCTCTGTACCCAAAAAAAAAAAGAACTTGTCTTATACAACTATTGATACAATGATCAAAAGCCCAACGATTGATACAATGATCAAAAGTCCCTAAGCTAATAAGAAAACCTAGTGGTCTTACAATGGCCATAAGAAAGGAAACCTAGTGACTACGGGGAAGAATCACTACTCCCCCTCAAAGACCACAATGGCCATAAGAAAGGAAAAACGAACAAATACAAGAGAAACTAAAAAGTTTGAAACTGCTTAATCTTACAAGCCACCCATCTATATATATATATATATAGAAAGAATCATATGAGAAAGATAGATAGTGAAAGAAATAAGAATGAATCTAGATCATTAGATTCAATATATCAATGGTTATGATGAAGTCAAATATTAAATATGACAGTCAAATATGTGTGGCAGTTTTGTAAATAAATGTATAATTCAGTCACATATTTATATTTGACTAAAAAGTAAGGATAGACTTGTCATTAAACATCCATATCCATCCACACCACGTAGGGCCCACCACTACATTATCAAACCCCGACACTCTCTCACACACTAAGACACCTACTCAAATCGTCTCTCACACTGTCACACATGCCTGCACACACACACAGAGATACACACACACACATATACAAACACATCTGAACACACACACACACACAATGCACACTTCGACCATAGGTGCGGCTGACAAAGGCGAGGCAACACGGTGGCTGACGGAGGTGAACGGCGGTGGACGGTGACGATGCGATGCGGCGGACGATGACGATGCGACGCGGCGGACGGCGGCGATGCAACACGACCACTGACGGAGATAGATGCGTGTTTTTAGACGGGGATGAGGCGTCGAGTCGGCTGACATTTACGAGAGGCGAGGTGTCGGACGGAGGCTAGGCGACGCGGCGGCGGACGGAGACGATGAGTTGTGTCGACTGACAGAGACGAGGAGATGAGGAGGCGGACAATGGCGACGCGACGGTCTGACGAAGGTTGCATGTTGTGTGTGAGTCGAGGCCGACGGTGTGGTGAGGAGAATATTTCAGATCTTGAAAAATAGAACGTACAGGGCCTAATAGTGTTGTGTGTGAGTAGGGCTTTTCTTATGGAAATTAGACTAAATATAGGGCCAATTTTCAAATTTTAAAAAAACTTAATTATAAAGAAATATAATTAGTAGTTAGTTATATAAATTACTAAAAAATAATAAATATGGATATTGATAAATAAATTTAACAATATATACATGGTTATTCAATTTAATTGTTCAGAAAAGTTATTATTAGTATTTAATATTTTGTTAACTGATATTTATATTATTGTTTGATTAAAAATTCAGTTTATATGTAAACGGAATATATTATGCAATCTAACAAATATTAAAGTACAATTTGTTAAACCCTACGGTGCACAGTGTCGGTCTGTATCGTGCATATCGAACCAACCAAACTCTTGTCCCAAGTCAAATTGAAAATGAACATAGTTAATTAATTTATTCAGTTCAGTTAACCGATTTAACTAAAT